CCAAACCTGAACAAAACAAGAAAAATACAAACTGTCAAAACTCCCTTCGGCATGGGTTATGTAGATTAATTAGTCTTCTTTAAGAAGACGTTCTGGCAAATCTAGAGACAGTGGGCCACTGCCAAAATGTCCTGGAACAATGTAGCTGCTTGCCAGTAAAAGAGCAATGTTTGACGTGTCTTTACAGAGAACAGCAATGCAGTGAAGGAGGTTAACTCTAATGAACACACTTAACACAATCTGCTAATTACTAGATGTGACCATGTTAACATGCAACAAGATGGTGAACATGGTAAACATTAAAGCTGCTAAAGCATAATCACATTGTCATTGTGAGCATGTTAGCATGCTGACATTAGCATTTAGCTCAAAGCACCACTGTGCCTGACTACAATTTCTATTATTATTATTATGACTATCATTATTTTTATTGATACTTGTACTATTACCACTACCATTACTATAATTCTATTATAGTATCATCAAGGTTCTGCCACTGGTGCTATATAAAAAAAATTGAGTTCAATGGCAGTAGACTCTTGCTAATCCTGTAGAAATTGTTACTTCAAGTCACCATATTGGCCTGTTGAAACCTGTTCAGCTGTGATTCGATTTTGTTTGAGTGAGAGTGCTGACTGCAGTCAGTGCAGGGAAATGAGATGAATGCTGTGTACACTGTACACCATGTGACCCACTTATTCATGAGTATAGTTGCTTGCTTCTACAGTCTGAGTCTGTCTTGTTTTAATGTCTTCATTGCGAACATTTTCTGTGTGTAATAAGATGTAAATGTGATATGTAATGTTTTTGATTTTTGAATGAAGTGTAAGATAAGTCTGGAGGACCCTAAACTTCTGATGTTGTACTGTTATTTTATGAAAAAAACAGGACTCTAGCTTTTCCCCCAACTAGTTTAGATACTTGCTTAGTTAAGTTTCCCCTGTGACTGCAAACGTCACTAAGAGTATGTGCTTAGTGTTGAAAGTGTAAACGTGAACAGTAATGTGTCAGATGACAAAGAGGCCAAGGGTGTGAGAAACATGCTGAGCCTAAAAACTGGATTGAGCCGTTTCAGAAAAAAAGAGAGAAATGAAAGAAGGAAGAGGGTTTGCTGCAGCAAGTGGAAACTTCATTTGCCTGGACCACTGAGAACCAGCTCTGACCGGCCCTCTCCTGACACACACGATAGGACTCCATCCATCATAAAGAGCAGCCAAGTGGTCTGTAAGATTAGCAAACACCAGCTGATGCACACCAGACTGCATACCACCATTGACCTGACGTCATCGGTAGCTCTCTGCTATTATGAGTCCAATATTTTGAAGGCTGATCTATTTTGGACTGAAACCAGTTGACCTTCACGCCAAAAACAAATTGTTGGTAGGGTGGAGATGTCTCTGAATGAGTGCTAAGACCTCTCTGTGTCTGGAAGGGATTTAAAGTCGTCCGCGCTACACAGAAACCCCTAAAACCTAGATCCAGCAACCACCTCGAACAGAAATTCACACAGCTACACAAAGCCACATCCACATGGGCCTGACATCAGCAACTGCTGCTCTGTCTGACTAGCGCCTATCTCAAATTACTGAGAAACTCTTGACCTTTGCCATTCATTCATCTTTTTTTCCTCCCCAAATCTCCCTTCCCTTCATTTCATGTGGCCATGTGCAGCAAACAGAGCATATACTGTACTTCCTCCATCTCACCCTGTCATCTTTGGCATAGTCAAAATAGCCCACAGACTGAGCTTGCTGGCTTTTCACCGAGTAGAATACAAGAAACCACTCCTTTTTTCTCCTTCAGCCCTGTCAGCCCTACATGTTTCAGTCATCAGGGGGAAAGATGTGCAGAACATATAGATTTCTCAGCTAAAAATTGCATCTGTGGCCAGTTTGTTGACTGTTTCACGCAGGGAATCAGTAAGCGAGCCTGTAAGAGTGTTCCCAGATGGGAACAGAGGAAATACACATTTCAAGGCATCCGACATAAAAGTAGATTAGGGCAGCGAACAGAGCTTCAGACTGGAAGACCAAACCCAGGAAACAGAGGAGGCTCCAACACGTGCCACGAACTACATGAAGAACAAGGAGGAGGAGCTTCTGCCTGTTGGTGTGGATATATGTATAGATGTGTATGTAGAGGGGCCTGTTCGGGAACATTTCATGTGAAAAGACTCTCTGTAACGTGAAGCTGTTTACAAGCAAAGAACGTGAGGAATGAAGAGCAGAAAGGGAATAAATCACCGCCCCCTCTTCTCCTCAGCTTTACTCATGGCTTCACTCCCTGTTTTCCGTAGCAGGGACACAGAGTGCTGAGTGTGCATCCACAGGAGAGAATGAGGAAATGAAGCAAAGATAGATAAAGAAATAACAGGGAAAGAGTGGAAGGAGCCTAACTGTCCACTGATCTTATTAGAAGAGAGCAACACAGGAGCAGAGACAAAGAAAGACAGAATTTGGTGGGTCAACCTGAGTTTCAATGACACCTGATGCCCGAGATGCTGTCTCAGAGCTTTTTACGCCCTGAGAAACAAAGGTTACAGGTTTCTTAAAATAATTATTTTCCTTGGTAACAACTGTTGAACCAGAGACTGCAGAAAAAGCAGGGAGAGGGAAGGCATCCACACAATAACACTTCCTCTCTCTGTCACACACACAGACCAGGGTATTAGCATGTTTTACCAATTTAAGACTTAAGACATTTTTAATAACACATAGAATTGGACCAGGATAAGCAGCACAAAATGAGAAGCTAATTAAAATTTATTAACATGGAGTTTTTGCTGAAATGAACAGTCATCCATTGTGCGGTAATTAGCTTCCTAGCTACTGTAGCTAGCAGTAGTGACAATGTTTTTCTGTATAGGTCTGATGGTGCTGACTGAAACTGCACAAAAAGGCCACTGTCAGTGGAGTGTGCATGTAATGTGTCCCGACAGCCTGCAAACATTTTGTAGATTCAAGAGTTTTGTAAATAAAAGATGTTTTAATACCTTCAGAGGTAAGACTATTCAAGACCCCTGCAGATACCTTGACACACACACACACAGACTGAGGCAGTAACATTTGTGGAGGCCTGCAGGGAGCTGTAACGAAGCCCACTGTAGGTTAGAGGCGGTCCGCAGCTAAAACAACACACACACACCCACACACACAGGCTGAGACGGTGTTGATATACAGTAACATACAGTTCCAGCCCTGCTGAGGGAGAGCAGCTGAAACTAGAGACGACAAAAACAACCAGGCAGAGACTAGACTGAAAGGTTTGAGTGGGGGATGCAGTGGGATGAAACCAGCTGAGCAACTTCTTTCTTTGTGTATGTGTGTGTGCGTCAGTAAGGGTCCCAGTAGGCAGCCTGAATAGGAAACAGCGAAGCATGGGTGGAGATGCACATGCAAACACAAATGCACACTCAGTTCCCCTGTTGCTGTTTCCTGTTTGACTCCTCAGTGACAGCCAGTTAGCAACACTGTTGTAAAGAAATATCTAGCAGGCGTTGACAAAGTAACTCACATACTGAACATTCCCCCTCTGATCTAATGGCTAATGATGCAGTTTGGTGACATGGTTATCGTAGAAACTGTACCCCTCAGTTTGCGTAAAACAGACACCAGCTGAACCCTAAAAATGTATTTTCAATACACACTCTATTGTGTTGTTAGAACAATCACACATCTATAGTCGAAACACAAGGGATTCATGTGTCCTTGGGTGGCTGAAATAGTAATGAGGAGAGGTCTTTTTTTGGCTCCCAGCCAGAGAAGCAGCACGGGAGTGAATAATAAATGACTAATACAGACTTGCTTCTCTTTAAACCACTCTCTGCTTATGTCTCTCTCTCACATCCCTGTGATGCAGCACTTTGTCGGGCTGATGAGATCATCCTGACCACTGTCTGTCCATATCCACTCCGTCCGTCCCTCTTCGCCACATCACTGCTCATCCTTTCGTCCCAGTAGTCTCCTGTCAACTGCTCAGCCATCTCTGTCTGTCTCCCCCTTTGTCCATCTTTTTCAAATGTTCCCTCTCTCTGATGCAGAGGCATCATGTCTGTCTGCCCATCTCTCTCTATCTCACTGACCTTCTTGTTTCGTCCTCTTTCCATCAGTGTCTGATGCTATCACTCATTTCATTTCCCCTCATCTCAAATTTATATACTGTGCTATTCTGGTTTGCTGACACTGACATTGTATTAGAGGCTTTCTGTTATTCAGTGTTGACTGCATCCTGCTGAGGATGTTGTCACTCACTAAATAAACCAAGTATGAACCTCATTTAAGTGATTTTGTGTCAGGTCATGAGAGAATGTCGTAGGCTACCAAGAAATGTATTTGTGTGTCCTTGCAAAAGAGTTGTGAAGAAGCTTGGTGAGTTGCAGGACTTGTTAGCTGCTGTGCCTTTCCAGCTAACTGCTAACATGCTAGCCAGCTGTAGCATGCTGACAATAGCCAGGCAAAATATGTTGATTTTGCGCTCAGCTAGCTGGCCTTCTTCCAGTTAGGAAGCTAGCTAACTCATCACTAACCAGGCAATAAGTGAAAACAGTCAAGTGAATGTATATATGTTTGTGTTATAATTATATTTATATGTTATGTAGAGCTGTAGCGGAGTAGGGTTGTATAAAATTAGATGATTACATAAGTAATATTATAGCTTTCTCCATTTTGGCCTCCCTGGCTCTCCATTTCCTCAAATGTCAGCACTGTCAAGATGGTTTGCTATTTGTCAACAGCACCAATTTGCATGCCTAAGTTCACCACCGTTGAACACCACATAAAGGTCCTGTGCAGATTTACTTCGCCTCCTTAGGCAAATCTACCGATCACAGCACTTCCATTGAAATGAACGAGTTTGGTCAAATATTTTGGTGTTAAATATCCCTGACAAAAATAAAATTACTGGGGCATAAGTAGCATCATTTGACGCAGTGAAAGCAGGCATCAGCTATACACAGAGAAAATATAAAATAAGTTCTGCAATCTTAAAGCGTTCCTACTCACCGTCAGAGAAGTGAAGGTCATGCACATGCCTCCAAACCCATTCATCGCCAAAGCAAAGAAGATCAGGATGGACAGATCTGCAGGTGGAAGAGCAGATTAGTGACAAAACTCTGATTTGGTTACCCAGCTGACGCAAGGCAACTCCCACACACCCTACCGAATTGATTAAAGTGTCACCACTGCATCGACACGCTGTATGTGTCTGCGGGGAAATATGCTGTACACTGTGGCTCGCCTACAAAAGCAACATGACTGAGAGCAGTGTGTGAGGCACGATGTATGTGCGGTGACATGAGTAAGGATACTTACTGTTGGGATCACTGGCACCGTAGGCGATGAGGAGGCAGGAGAAGGCAAAGCAGGCACTGGGAACACAAAGCAATGGGTAATGTATGAATGAGGCAACAAATAAAGCAAACAATATTACACTTACGACTTCTCAAGCCTTACCTTCCCAGAAGTCGTAGCTTCCGTGGACCATATTTGTCCATGACAATGCCCATGGGCAGGGTGATGGCAGACAGCAGGAAGGAGCCCACAGTGAATGCCAGGTTCAGCATTTCGTCCTGGTCCTTACAGATGGGCCAGCCATTCATGTCCAGGTACTCCTCCGAATCAGGAGGCGCGGACATGTTGGAGAAGTTGAGGCGTGAGCTGTTTTCTGGATGGAAAAGAAGAGCAAAGAGAGGAAATGACTAAGATTTAGACTGTCAGTTTTTTAAAGCTGGATTTCTTTTCTGAAAGCTGCACACTGCAGCTATATGGTGATATCAGATGACAATAATATAATAACTTCACCTTTCACCACCTTGTGATTCGGTAACATCATAATATTATGTGCACACTACATACTCAAGTGAACCAGATGTTTGACACTTCAGATTATCCCTTAGATAAATAGGGTTAATCAAGGCTATGAGCGTGTTTTTACATGAATAAACAGGCATATATGAGCTTTAAATGTGATTATGAAACATAACCGGAAAAGAACCTGCTGACTTGCTCAATCATTCTAGAGATTTCTGTGTGGTCTAAAATAAATGCCTTCTTGGTATTTCAAGGGAGCTCAATTTCTAATGTTGCTCTCTGAGGTCTGAGCTTCTAGATCTACCCCTCCCTCTCTGAGAGCTGAGCTGCTGACCGAAAAGCCAGGAGACTCATAAAAGGTCACGTAAACAAAACTGTAGGCAAAACAACAACAATCCAGGGTAAACAGGTGCCAGAAATAGTCACAACTGAACCCCTGCATAGTGGAGGGAAACTCCATGAGGAGGTGGTGGGGGGTAACTGTAACAGTTTAACACAGACAGATACCGAACAGACTGCTCAGACTGAATCAGTGGTAAACATGTGGAGTCTAATTTTATCGTTGTGCTCTTTTACACTGTTGCCTCTGGTGAAACTCTGCTGGTATCAGCAGACAGACAGGTGACAAAGAGGAGGGACACAACTCCTCACTCACCTTGACTTGTTTTTGCTCAAAGTGCCACAGACAGACTCAGCAGTTTCCACATATTTTAAGTCTGGAGGAGGCGGTATAAAGGACTTAGTCATCAGAGTGTTTTCTTCATTTCAGTCCTGGGGGCAAGTCGACAACAGCAGCTACAGTCTCTGCTGCCTCATATAAACAGCAGAAGTGAAAATCTGCTTTCCCACTGTGATCTTAAAGGGGTATGTGATGTTGATTTCTGACACTGTTGAGCCAGCTTACAGCTGGGGTAGGTAATGTATCTCATAAGGATTTTTTGTTAGATTCGTTGAATTTCTCTCAACATCCTGCCAACAATCAATAAATCAAATACTACTACTAATAAAAATCCTCTATAGGATGCTCTCACAGGGCTGTAAAAAGCCCGGCCCAGTGTTTTGGGGGGAGTGGTTTCGGTTGGATCGTTTCAAAATCTGTCTCTTGCAAGTTTCTCCAACGTCGCCTACCCTAGCTTTACCATTAGGAGTGAGAGTCACCAAAGTATTTACAATTGATCTTGAGGGGAACATGAATGTCTGTACAACATTTTGCGCCAACTCCAACCAACACCGTCGGGGGTTCTTGTCTAAAACTCAAATATATGGGCTTTGGAATGAGCTTTCAAAAGCCCTTTGTGATCAAACCTTTCTGTCAATATGGAGATTATGTTAGACTAACAGAAGATAGCAGCGTTGCTCCCCCCACCTGCTGACTAACTGGCTGCAGCAAACCTGAGTCAATAAGGGAAGTGCCGGACAACACACACACACACACACAAATACACTGTAAAGGCTGGCTTCTGTGAAAGTCCTTCCTGATAGATCACACCGTGTGTTCCTGTATCCCTGCTGTCCTTCAGAGAGTGTTTCTCATTCATGTCAACGCCATTTTGTGTATATGTTTCGTCAAATTTTTCTAAGCCACTCCTTCTATAAGCTTCCCCTATACGTGCAGCTGATGTCAAACAGACTCACTTCCTACAGAGTCATTTGGTTTAATGATTACCAGCATGCACTAACAGCTTTGTTTCCTTGGCCCCATAGTTGTCCCTTTATTTACCTGTAGATAGCACCAAGACACAAAACTCAACCTGATTATCAGCATATAAATACACTGATTAAAAACAGGGGATGTTAGGAGGAGTAATGCTGTTGGATTCTACAGCCACAAACCTCATCCATGTATTAGCGATCATATCAACAAAGAATTAGTAGGCAGTGATCTCTCAGATGGAGGCTCTGTTCATCATGATTGTAGGCCGCTTATATAAGGAGAAGGATGCAGTCATTAATGTGTATGGTGATGAGGTCAAGTGACGGTTAGAAGGTTGTATTTATCAGCCTCAGGGCAACATGATCCACATGACAAGTGGATACACAACGAGCATTTGAGGAAACGAGAACAGAAAAACAGCCACTTTAAAAGTCCTCCTCCTCTAGGCAATGAGGTACATTGTTTTCACACTGGCCACAATCAAGCTTTTCTAGTGACAGAGCAAACAGTGACAACACACACAAACTTTATCTTTCAGAAACAACCTGAAGAAGCTCAGCAAAATAACAACGCTGACAGGCCGAGTTGTGAGAAAAGAAAAGGGGAGGTGAGAGCGGTTTGATGAGTTACACAAAGTAATGTACACCTTTCTCGCACCTTGTAACACACTGACACATACACACACTTCCCCCCACCAGAGTAACTACAACCACAACTGTGGGCAGTTCATGTGAACCGAGCAACAGCAGAGTTTCACTAATGCGAGGAAGGACACGTTCTTTAAAACTGAGGCACAGTGTGAAAATTTACATTTATTTACACATGAAAGTCTGTGTACAGGTGTTGGAGAGTAGTACTGCATATGTGAAAAATGTTGTAGAGAACTTTTTGTGAGAGAAACTGCCTCAAGTGATGTCATAAAACTGTCTATCATAGGCCCAACAATGCTGCGCTCAGTGGGTAGAGCGCGATTTAAGACTTAACATTCATAGAATTCTGCAACAGGTAGTTTTTACATATAGACAGATGACAATTACAGGAAAAAAAACCTGATTCAGAGAGTGGGGAATGCAGAGGTTTTCATACTGATCACTAACCATGGATGAAAAGTCCCATATTCTGAAGTCTTCATCAGCAAACAGTGAATAGCAAATGAGGGAACAATTTCAGAAGCATCCCTCAAGTCTCCAGGGTAATCAGAAAAGTTTAAGCTAAAAACTCTGGAAAAAGCGGAACTTTATTAAAGAATTGGGTCATGTTTTTCTGTACCAAAAACAACACTCACATTAAAACACATTTTTAGTTGTGGTACTTGTTCCTATTGTCACTACTGGCCAAGAAGAGATCCATTCCTTGTGTAGTTCTAATGTATCAGATGAGACACAAAATATGCAGTCCTTGTTCTGTGCAAAAACACATTTCAGTTCAGCCAAAGCTAATGAGTTAATCACATTAGGTGGAAATCACAGAAAATGAAAACGTTTTTAGTATGAAATGAATTTAAGAAATGTTAAATCTGAACCCTTCTTTAATTCAGACTGTAAAGGCAAGCACAGTGGTTTACCACAATCTCAAAATTGTCACGACGGCATTTAAACCTGATAATGATTGCAGACAGCTCCTTTGCACACTAGAAGCAGGATAATGGGACATGTTTGCACATATTTTGCCCTGAGGACACACACATTGACTCCATTGTGAGAAAAGACACACAACAACATCAACAGATGTTGCGCCTTCTTGACCTGATTCCACACTTCTCTACACGCTACACTACAAGTAAACACCAAAACTGTTGATTTAACGCCAAGGAGCCGGTTAGAGAGCGGGGACGGGAAGTGACGAGGCTGGGGTCGGGTCACTGTGGAAGGAGCTGAGTCAGTGGCAAGAACCCTAAAACCTAATCCAATCAAATAATCAACAATAAAGCGGAGCATCAGCTTTCTTTCACGTTAGTTTACAAGTGCTGTATCCACTGGTAGACAGAGAAAGGAGAGCTGTCTCCGAGCAGTTAATGCCACACCTGCGGTAATGTTTTACGCGCAGTGAAAATCAGTGCTCTCAGACAGGCTCATGTGATGGTGTGAGTGAATGCGGAGAGAGCGACGAAACCATCAAAAAGGCTTCACATGCACAAATGTACCCTGCAAGGCTTTCATCACTGCTCCTCCGTAGGATACTAAGAGGGCGACACGCACACAGAGACACAATCTGAGGATCAAAGACAGAAAAGTCAGAAAACAGCTTGTGCGATAGTCACTGTGGAGGATGAAGGGATGAATGGTCTCATTCACATTCACCATCCGCTGCCTGGAAAGGAGGCAACTCAAAACCCCACTGATGGTGAACCGTCGTTTTGGTTTATTGTAGCCGTTCTGTTTAATCTGCCCTGCAGTATGTTGCTACTGTGACAATGAGTGGTTACCTAATCCTGACTAGGGGGAACCGAAGTCCTCGTGTGATTAGATATTCCAAGCCAAAGCAATTTTGTGTCATAAAAACACAGCTGCATCGCCTTTGATCACAGAGGAGAATCAAATAATGATAAAACAACCTAATCTGATCCGTCTCTTGTTGTGCAGGAGCACTTCATCGCTGCTTTTGAAGCTTGTTCAGATCCTGCCTGCCTGCCGCTGGCATATTGACTTGTTCTCCGTGAGGAAATCCCAACTGTCGGATCAATAAGGATTCAGCGTGTTTACTAATACGCAGGTAGGTGCTTCTGTCAAAGGTCGCTGTCCTTGCCAAGGCAATAACACTCGTATGAATGAGAAGTGTAGAATACTAAGAGGTTGAGGCTGTTTTTAAGATGAAACCTGAACACCCCCCGGAGAAGCATTTAGTACGCTTGTTTGCATATCTTTAAATCTCCAAGTCCACCACACCCACTCAGCAAAAAAGTACCCAGGAGTGGTGCAATCAGTTTGTTGAAATCTTTTGGTTTCTCAGCAGCTCAGAGATACTCAGGGAGTCATCATGCAAGGTCATCACATTAACATCCCGTTCAAACTCTGACTAAATCCAAAAAGCCCAGAATGAGGCTGTTTTTGACTGTTAGAGCTCAAGATGAGCTATGTGTAGTTTATCTGCATGACAAGTATGTTAGCAAAACTAGTGGTAACAGTATAGCGAGTCGTTCATGAGATTTACAATTACAGTTTCCAGTATGATTAACTAAAATACATGTAATCTAAAGGAGAGAGAAAGAAATGAGTTTAGTGGACCTCTGCAGTCCGCTCCTCATCTCTGATTGAGGCTTCAACCTGCATTAGCTGCTATCAGCTGATTTTGAACTGTCAGTGAGCTAAAACGGTGAAGTACTCTAAAAGTACCAGTACAACAATGTAAAAACCCTACTAGTAAACGTGTTGCATCAATAATCCTAATTATCTCGAAGTACAGAAGTATTATGTAATGTATATGTAATGTAAATGTATCAGAAGTAAAAGTACTCGTTCTGCAGTAAAATGACCTCTGTGACTGAAATATTATTGTATATTAATTATTAAATTGTTAATACTGGTGCAACAATGTAGCAGTAACAATGAGTAGCATTTTACTGCTATAACTACTTTATATACAGTTGGGTATTTTTAGTCCGGTGACTCGCAACCTAGGGGTCAGGCCCCCTCTAAAGGGTCACCAGATAAATCTGAAGGGTCGTGAGATAATTAATGGGGTAAGAATAAAAAAAATGTTCTGTTATGCAAATTGAATCTTCATTATCAAATCTTTATGTGAAATATTGGATAATTATACCTCTTTTGGGTTTTCATTATTTAAGTTAAACCACCTGAGAAGTTTAGAGGGAAGCAACAGCTGAATGTTGAACAATACAGTGTATTTTCTAAGCTTATTTTTGTACTAAAGAACAGTACTTAAGTAAATGTGCTGAGGTACTTTCCACTACTAATGGGGTCAAACAGTTCTGCAGCCTCCCTCATCTAAACCCTTCTGAAATCCCCACATCACCTCCCCCAGCTTTGTAAAATATGACAACCCATGTAAAACTGACTCACCCAGTCCTCTGCACAGGTAGGAGTAGAAGCCCTCAGACTTGAGCATGATGAGCAGGGATCCCCAGCCCAGCAGCACAGCAGAGAAAAGCAAGTTCTCTATGACCGCCGTCACCGCCATCCACCAGCGGCGGGAGAAAGCAGTGGCCAGGGTGGGAGCCATCTCTGCTGGATCGGGAGGCAGCACTTCACTGGCCTGACGGGAGGTGAGGGAGGCTGCTGGAGCCTGGAAGACAAGACAGGGTAGGGAGGGGAGGTGGGGGGGGTTAGTGATGAGAAGATGACCATAATATTAAGGATTCTTCTGGGGTTAAATATTCTACAGACTAGCAAATTGCATGCATGAAAATGCAATGCTGTATTCCTTTTTTGGTACTCACTGGAACTGATTACAGATCATTTATTATATACCATAAACTAACAGTCTTACATGTCTGCAGTCCTCTGCACCCATTCTTATTTACAATTTACAGCAACAGTTGACTTGAAAATAGACATTATATGTTGTAGTGGTCATTTTATATATAGGCCTACTGTATGCATCTGTTTTTTTAATTGCTTGTATGGTCATAATGTTTCCTTTTTCACTCTGCTTTGTTGTCCTTGTCGTTTAGCTGCTTGTCTTCCTGAACATTGTTCTTGGATCTGTGTGTAATTGTGAGAGTATCTTAAAACCAGAATCAAATTCCTTGTAGGCTATGTGTACACATAGGCCTACTTTGCATTTGAAGCTGATTCTGATTCAGAGGTGCTTAATTTCACAATAAAGTGTTTTGGAAGACTCTCTGGGCCTGATCTTTAGGCTCCTCTACATGTCTTTGTTTTTGCCTGATGATGATGATGATGGTGGTTGAGGTGTTGGTGGTCTAGAGGAAGACTCCCACAAACAGGAAACAGCTGAAGTGCACAAATCCCTCCTACAAATATTAAAAACTCCCGCCCCCTGACATATCTGATTGGCTTAAGGGTTTAACAAGTCTTCTTCTATAGGCTGCCAGTGACATAGCTCGTGCAGCAGCTACACGTGAGGTTGATGTTGCATTCAGTCCCTGTGAGGGAAGCCTACTGAGGGCTCTTTGTTACCAGAATGTGTTGCTTCTGTTGAGCTTTCACATTTAAATTAAACGACCTGCTGGGTTTCTCTTTGTTTTTATGAAAATAGAAAACTGTTTAAGTGGGTGTCGACTGTGACAAAGCTACTTTGGTAAAAACAAGATTTTTGTTTACAGAAAACTCAACCGCACGTGAATGCAGCGCGAGATCCAGCCGGTTCGAACCAGTGCGGCGCGAGCTTTTCTGTGTCATCTGGCTGTCAGCGCGCGTGCAGCTGCCTGTCTGCTCTGAGACACTTTCTGTTGTAGCCTCCTTACACTGTGCTAATGATTAGGTTCATTACACATCACATCAAAAAACATATAAACAAATAAACATACAAATAATAAAACGCTGGAACACTGTAAATAAAAATGCCGACTAATTCAAATAAAACCCGAATATCTAAAATACATAGTCTAAACTTTAGGCAACTGCAAAAAACAAAACAAAAAAACGAACAAGATAATGAACCTATTTATAGCTATTTCTAGTGTAATGTGGGGATTGTGACGCGCTTTAATATTGTGCAGAGGCAACCTGACTACAATTGAAGCAGCTATTTTTATTTATTGGATCTCAGTGGGTTATTTTGGCCTTCTGGTAATATCTGCCATACTACTTCGGATAGCCTGCTGCTTTTGTCTGAATACAAAGTTGATGTCACTCATCGCCTCCAGCACTGAGGACCGTGAAAAATATGACATGACTCGCGCTGTCCAGACTTCACTTGGATTTCGTGTGTTTTTGAGGAGCTGATCCGCAGATCGTCTCACTGCGAACAATAAGACAAAGTATATTGCGGTGAATGAAGAGCAATGCTGGAACTGGTCTGAACTGGACTGAAATCAACCGCACAAAACCCCCCCACCCCACCCCAATCTGCATCTCTCCGCACAGTCAAGTTAGCCAGAAAAAAACATCGCAGTTCCGGTTGCTGGTTTCAAAGTAAAAGTCTAATGAATGTCGCTAACTTACGAGCCTTAGCGAGTCAGATAAAAGTGCCAATGTAGATATGACAGCCCCTTTACCTTTCAGTTTCCCATACATTGAACTTTACATGATCATAATCAAGAAAGTAATGAAAAATGAAGATAAAACTACGTCTACAGGCAACAAAATGCAGCAGCTTAGTAGGATAAGCTATAGAACTACCCGTAGCCTATCTGTACGTATATTAGGCTAATAAAAGTGATGAACGTAATTGATGCAGTACGTTTCACATTATATTAGCCGAATGCACTGAAACCTGAGTCTGAAAAAAGACAAAGGTCCTAACGCCTTAACAAACTGGATGGTTTTCGCAACGTGTTGTTGTGCTTTTATTTTGAAGGTAACCCCTGCACTTTTCCGGATTTATCCGGCACCTTTCTCCGTGACTTGACGCACATCTACACAAGAGGCGCTCAGCTGTTCAGTATCAACAACAGCACGGGAAATTACCATTAAGCTGCTGAAACAAAGACAGTTAACTAGACGCCAACTGGCAACAAAAAGCGTCCACATACAAGAGTCTCGGCTGTTATTCTGCTGCCTCCCAACTGTTTCTGTGAGCTCGAGCGGGATTTCCTTTAGCAATTAAAGGAAAGAAACTTTCATGCAGCCGCTGACTACATGCTCGACTGGCATCCCTGTGCCCGAGCAAAATAAAGGGAAACGGAAGAAGCGGTCGGTCTTGATGGTGAAATGAAAGAAACAAGTGTAACAATTCCGCTTGATCTCATCCAATCTAATCGGCTGTGTGTGTTTTGCAGTACATTTACAGAATCAACATGCTCAGAGACAATGGCTGTGTCGATAAAAACACAGATAGTCTTAAAGTTGATAACAGTGTTGCAAGCCTCAGTTCCCTCTCTGCAGCCATGACACAAACGAAATACACAGAGAGGAAAAGGCTCAAGGAGGAGGAGGAGAGCACTTTGCTGCAAAAATGATGCCTGTGATTAACTGTGTCATTGTGAGATGGTGATTCCTCCTATGATGCACGCCAAAATATGAGTCAGCCTCTCCTCCAGTGCAGTGCAGTGTGTCAGAGCTCCGGTGTGGAGCATCCTTGGTGCGGACAGCCTACCTGAGTCTGTGGAGTCAACAGAGACTCTCCGTCCTCGGTCAAATCTTTCTGTCCCTCAGATGTCTCCCGACACACAGAGCAGCGGTGGAAATTCACCTGTGGAGAGTCTCTTTGGCTTATTTGAATCGCTCTTTCCAGTCTCATCCCTCATTGCTGCCGTTTTATAGCAGCGCAGGAGCGGTGCACAAACAACACCGCCTCCCTATTGGCCCCTGCCTGAGCTAGAGACGGGCCGGAGCCAATCAGAGCGCGACAATGTTACATGTATGTTGTTTCTCAACACTGAAAAATTGTTGGGGAGACAGTTCGCTTTGCTATTTAAGATAGCTTTTACTTTGAAAAGTAGTCAATGCGATAATTAAATGCAGAACTCCATTTTATTATGTAGCTATTATAAAAACAGAACTACATCCAATAAAGCCACTGAAACTTTGGCAGAGGGCAAATGGGGAATATAAGCAAAGGTAGTTTTGATGTTTTTCTATGTTATTCACCGTAACTGATAAAGAACTCACTCCTAAAATGGCCTTTAGTACAACAAAATTGGTATTTAGGCTCGTGCAATTGCAGAACCATTTTTGGTGAATGTTGTCTGGGCTTAAATGGTCCTATAGTCGACTTTCAAGTAGGCTATTTTTAAAGAAGAGAAAGACTGTGTCAGGGTTAAAAGTCTCAAAACCTCAGTGGGTATTTGCTCTGATTTATTCTGATAATTTAGTGGCCTAGTCTGTGTGAACTGCTACCCAAGTCCTTGTTTTCTCTGTGTGACAAATGCCTATAGATCTTCTATAAGCACTGCAGCATCTACAGTTGCATATAAATCCTGTCAACATATGAGGTGACTCGCTGTTTACTTCTAACTTCATGCCCAACTTGAAATTCCTAGAAGTACAGGAGAGGAGGACTCACATGGTCCAGTGGAAAGGGTTGTAAACAAAAACCACTGGGGGGGGGGTTGGAACACCGAGGGCGACACCTAGTGGCTGCTTTGAAGTAGGATGCTGAGGGTTTGTACTGTGCAGGCCTGATGGACAGTGAAGAAGTACTCACACTAAATGTGTCTGCTACTGAGTGGGTGGTGTACTCAGCGTTTTTTTAGAGCCTTTTAACTGAAAACAGCTGCATGCTGCTGCCAAGGATGAGAACAGTGAGAGTGAACCACAACAAGTTAGCTTTAAAGTTTAGCCGGACAGATGAGCAATGAGCTGAAACTCACTATAAAGCTCGGTAAAGCAGGTGGAAGCAGCAGACTCAGCTGATCCTTCTCTGTATTTTCATCACTGCAAGCGACCCCTCTCACATCTTACATTGTTTTCACATTGTCATCTGTAGCAAATATATTATCTGCAAAATAACAAGCTGTCAAATAAATGTATGGAGTAGAACTACGGTTGAATAAAATGGAAGTAGCCTACAGTACAAATACTTTAGAACTGTATTTAAGTGCAGTACTTAGTAAATGTTACATTCCACCGCTTTTGAAGGATTAAAACACGGGACTGCCGGTCACAGATCCGGGGCCCCAAGGGGTCAGAGGCCCCTAAACCAGAGCCTCTTTCTGAAGAGACTGTTTTTTAACTGTCTCATCAAATATTCATTTTATTTTATTATGGGGGAGAGAGAGCGGGTCGTCCACTGTCGGCGGTCTGATCCTCCTCCAGTCTGCATGTCGAAGTGTCCTTGAGCAAGATACTGAAGCCCCAATTACTCCCCGATGTTTGTGACATCAGTGTGAAAATGATTAGTTTCTGTTTCCGATGAGCAGTTAACACCTTGCAGGGCAGCTTTGCCATCACTAGGACACTAGGACACACACACACACACACAGCTGAACAGGAACGAAGAAAGAAACCACTAACAGCCATTCATCGGTTTGTATTTACTTTTCAAATTTATTTTTCAAATCTTTAGTATCTTTTTTTTTTTTAGTGTGTTGTCATAATTATACATTGGTGTGGTGCATACAGTAAGTCAGGACTGATAACAGGAGTGCATCTGTAAATCAACAGACAAACGCAGGACTTGTTTTGAATAAAGCTTATACACAAACAGGGAGGAGACCTTTAGATGATGCTGGGAAACTTTTAGAAATGGGCCGACACCCGTCATCAGCCAGGGACTAGATTCAAGGAGGTATTTCTCTTCTAATTCCACTCTAATCTGTTGTATTGCTATATCCAACAAGGCACATTAACAAGTTTGCGTTCACAAACAATACTAAAAGCTTTTTCCTCCCCATATGTTTCACATCAAACCTCGCTTGGCTTGAATCTCTCATTTATAACACAGAACACAAACTGTACATACAGATCTCCCTCCTGAAAGAAACAAGACGACATTCAGAACTGACATCATTACATCATATAAATCGTACAACACAGAATCACTATAAATCAACAGGTTCTTTGGCTAGTATCTCGTAAGTGCGGTCGCACAGTCCTGCCTCGCCATATTGCACCCACCTCGCCACCCAGAGCCATGCAGAGAAAAAGTTTTGTCAGTGAGCGAGGTCTGGAGAAAAGAACAAAAATAATCTTGGAAACATTTTGGAGCTCCTCTCAAAAGTTTTCAATAACACAAGTTTTTCAGGGTCAGTCTTTGGTCAGAGTAGACGGAGATGTGTTTTGTTGTAGAGCTGGTCTATAGGAGACCCATAACCTGGTGTTAAGGATGAATAAATATTTTGCTGTTAATGAAGGATATTAGGTTCCCATGACAATTTAGATGCTACTGTATTTCAGAAGTTTTTCTATTGTTAAAAGGGCAAAAACTGTGGATGTTTATACTTGGCACTAAAGGAATAGTTTGACACTTTGGAAAATGCACTAATGTGCCTTTTTGTCCGAGAGGTAATGAGAAAATTGATAGGACTATCTGTGTGTTCAACATGATGCTGGAGCTTAGCTTAGCATAAACACTGGAAAGAGGTGGAAACCGATAGCCTGGCTCTGTTCAAAGCTTATCTGCATACCAGCACCTCTAAATCCCAATAATTCACATTTAATTGTGTTTCTTTCATCTGTATTATAATCAAAATGTTTAGGTTTTTACCTTTGGATAGAGCAAAGCTAACTGTTCCCCCCCTAAAATAAGCTAGCTTCTTATTTAGCTTACAGACACGAGGATGGTATCAATCTTGTAATAATCTTAACTCTTGGCAAGAAAGTGATCCAGCTGATTTCCCAAAATGTCAAACTGTTGCTTTAAAAATGTCACATTTAAATCAGTCAAACATCTGGACAATATCACTTTTTTTTGGCCTTCACATGTATTTGAGCTAAACACAGTTTCAGTCTCACATTTTGGTCTAATTGCAGCTTCAAAGGCGTAGCATTGTGAAAAGCGTTTTATTGAACATCAACACTAAAACAAAAACAGGTTATTGCAGCTTCAAAAATACTGGTCAAACCCTGGTGGGGTGTAGCCATCTGACCAGTTCAGAGAGAGAGAGAGAGAGAGAGAGAGAGAGAGAGAGAGAGAGAGAGAGAGAGAGATGCTGGGGCCGTAGACAAAGTCAGAGCGTGTTACTTTGTTCTGAACAAGGGAAGACTGCTGTACAGCATTCCGTCAGAGGACATTCAGGTTTCTATCTACACTTAACTCGCCTCATTCTCGTGCGGAGTGTCATGGTTTTCACACATCAATATACAGCTCAACTCACTTTAGAATAAATTAGTCAAGGGGAAAGGCACAAACACCTGGGGTCAAGGCAAATGACCGCTGCGTTCTTTCTTTTCACCTTTCTCTTGCCTTTTCTCGCCCACATACCTGGTTCCTTTTGCAGCATCTACACAGCTGTTTATTTAATGTAGTGAATCTCTCATGACAAGCTCCCTTCTTATTCTGACACAGCACAAATAGATAATAAAAAAAAAACAAATTCAGTAGCACATCCAACTATTTATTCTGATTTAGTGAGCCAGTCTGAGACAACCAGCCTTTTGGTGCCAAAGCATCACCATTTGAGTTGTTCTTCCTCGTCTCTGATCCCGTCAACAACTCTCCTACATACTGTCACCCTTGTTCTACACACCTTCATGATTCAATACCAAGCCATTCACCCCAGTTGGAAAAGCAGTGTCAAGGAGACAGTCGAGGCTATGAGTCAAGCAGAAAAAGTAAACGGTGGAAAAAAAGGCAACAGGCAAGAACTAACCCTGATTTTCATCAATCCCCTTCTTCTCATTGTTGTCTCTTATTCTGACTCTTCCCTCATCATTTTCTTGGTCATGTTCCCAAATAAAGCACAATAAACACACATGGTGCAAGAAAAATGCACCAAAATATTAGTTATTTCTTGGCCTCATATATAAAATCAGAATTTTCAAACAGCAACAGTATTAATCCCAAAAATATAATATATAAACATAAATATATCAATTAGTTTTGCTGGATTTATATTTGTTTTTGTTTTTTTTTTAAATTGGAAGCACATGCCACCCGTGTAGTGACAGCTGGCAACTGATTGGCTTAGGCAGAGCAACGTCTGCGGTCGTGTGATTGGAGGATGGGAGAGGTGAGCAGTAAGTAGGTCCTGGTGTATGTGTGTGGTCAGAGTGGCCATCATCTGGAGTTCAGTCTGGGAGCAGTCTGGAAGACATGGAGGGGGAAAATAAAATAAAATTGCATCAGAGGTCAACAGAGTGACTTCCACTCTTTGGACAGAAGCAGGAAGTAACCACACAACAACAGGAACTTCAGTAAGTAATGTGTGAAGCAACACAACACTAATATCTCGACTGATAAGAGCGTTTTGTAAGAATTAAATATTAACCAGACAGCTCTAACCCGCAAGCACCACCCCAACAAAGAGCTAGCTAGTAATATTATTAATTATTATCAGAAGTCTGGTTTGAGAATTATTTCCAGTCTGGTGCAGGAGGATTTTACAAAGAAAAAAAACACCTAACTCATCTTCATAAGAGTAGAATTATTTAAATAGTTCAGTCAACAAAACTGTCAAACTTAAAGATGTTAAAGTTGCATTAATGATATTTTTGCCACTTGTTGGCAGTGCACTAAAGGCCCTGAAAACCTATTTTCTCAATCAGCTTAATGTGAGCGGGGAAGTTTTACATAAACAAATGTTCACTGTCCTTTTAGCTCTGTTTTTGGTCTCCACCAACTCCTGGGAGAAATATCTGGCTGTTTAGCTGCTAAATGCTCCACTGCAGTCACCAGCTAGTTGCTGTCGTTGTCTGCCTACAGTGGATAGTGGGTGTATCGAATCAGTTTCCCTGGAAAAACATCTGCCGGCTGCTGGAAACAAGCTGAAAACAAACAAGCTACAAGAGGCTAAAAGGCTCTGTAGAACGGAGGGGAACTGCAGTCAGGTGATAATTCATTAGCCCCCCCTATCCCATTTGACACTGATATGTGACCCATCGTTAAAATAAAATTATTCAATAGTACAGCTTTAAATAGTATTGCAATTTATCAACTACTGGATGCTGCTATCGTAAATCCTTATAATCCCAGACTATATGGGTAACTTGACATAGGACGGCATTGAAAAGCACATCTCATGCTGTTCTGTCAGTTATGACTGAATAACATCAAAGGAAATAAAAGGTATTTGCATAGCTTTCAATTTAGAAAAACTTTAGAGGAAGATTTAGCAGACTCACCACAGACAAGTGTCCGTTCTTAGCCTTGGCCACCAGTAGTTCTGATCCCGGCGTGAAGTCTATGATCCCTTCTTTCCCTTGACCCACTGTAAACTTTATACTGGAGGAGGAACAGAAGGATAGTTAGATATGTCTCGCTGCTTTTTACCACTTCTCACCTGTAGATGCTTGAGAGTGTAGGAGTAGAGATTTACTTTTAAGGAGTGCTATATAGCTGTTAGCATTATGGAAGTGCATACACACACACACACACACACACAAAAACAGGGCAAGTGCACAGTGCACGTTCAGGGTGTCTCTGCTGCTCACCTGCCCTGGTTGATGTTGATGCTGTTTATTTTGTCGGCACAAATCCCAATCTTGGTCAGGGTCTCGATCACATGGTCACTCTGCAGGATCACGTCTCCCTGGGAAGAAACCATCAAACAGTAAAACGCATTTAGAGTTATACAAAGCAACATGACTTTCTTTTTATTATTCATTTGTCATGATTCATCTACAACAGATCCTTGGGTTCACCTTCTGTTTGTTGTCGTCACTGGGCACGTGCAGAACGAACAGGCCGTCGCTGAGAGAGCTGACGGAGATACCTGCAGGGGAAGGACAGTTTTAATGAGTAACGAGAAAAAGAAACAACCCCCTTTTGCAAATGATGGCCGGCAGTTGACCTCTGACCTTTTAGAGCTCCATAGTCGATGCGCTGCTTGAGTTTGGCCTCCTCTACGATAATGACACTGTTGGAGGTGAGCAGCAGCTGGCGGGGCCGAGCCTTGTAGCCTTTTCGGTCGTACTTGGTGACTGGCACTGCATACTGGGAACAGAGTGATGATGGTCAAAAAACGGCTGATGAATACACTTAAGACAGCTTTTAAACTGCCCTTTGTTTGTGACTTTGCTGGACTAACCTTCATCTTCTCACTGCCCAGAGCCTGCAGCACCTTGGGGTTAATGTCCTCACCATCTGAACGAGTGGAGACATGCTGTTCAAGTCTTTTACATACTATGCGATAGGAAGCCTGCAGAAGTTTCACAGCTAATTTGTTGTAGCAGGAAACATGTCTTACTGAGTCTGGTGCCGACAAACAGTTTGGGCACGCTCTGTGGGTAGTTGTCCTTCTTGTCCTTGAAGATCTCACTGGCCATCATCTTCTGCTCCATCTATTTAAAGACAGATTTACCGACAGTGAAGCAAAGGAAAGAGGCGGCAAACCAAAATCCCGACAGTCAGATTACAAACAGCGCGTCTTGGCTGGTGATGGGACAATATTCACCTGGTGTTTCCACTCAGGACTGATCTTCTTGCAGTAGCTCCACACCATGTTCTGCATGCACAGCTTACGCAAGTGCTCTGAGGCCTAAAGACACAGACACAATGTCTTCACATTAGCTCCGCTGGCAGTGTGGAGTCATAATACATACTGGATATGTGAGCAGTCTTTTCTTTTTTTCTTGACACTCTTTAGATAACATAAAAATTGACAGTATTTGTAGATACATATATTTGAAATAAATGAATGCTGAATTATAGTGTCCTAAATTAATCAAATTTTCAGAGAGTTTCCCCAGTCTCCAAAATCTAAACAAGGGAACAGACATTTTATTTACCATAAAAAGTTTATAAATAAATATTAATAAATATTAATATGAATATCAAAACAAAATATCAGGTTTGATCTATAAATATCACTACAGGTCTAAAGCTTTAACCATACATGGTCAAACCCTAATTAAACCCCCTTTATCTGTGCTCACAGAAGAAAGTGGTGTTGTTTATGTAAACCTTTTACAGCTCCGTTGGCACAGTCACTCAAGTCAAGCGCATTACAGTGATGACCTACATACATGTGTGTGTGTGTATGAGCATGTGCTGTAGCCCCAACCTCAGTGAGAGCAGCCGGAGGCGTCGGCCAGCTCTTGTCCAGGACGTCCTTGGGCAGGTTCCTCCGCAGCGTCATGAGGAAGGAGTAGCGCACATAATCCAGGAAGTACTCGTTCTCTGGACAGCGCTCCCTGTGGCGGTAGATGAAGCCTTTGATGAACCTGAGTATTGGACAAGGAGTGGAATTTAAGATTTAGAAAAGGAAATTAAAAGGGATTACAACATCTGTACATATTATGCTCCTTCTAAAGTCACATGTTAGCAGACATCAGAGTAAGCTGCATTTATATTTATCACACAGTGGGTGTATTGTGCCATCTGCTGGCCAGTACCTGCGGATAGTATTAGCAGCCTGTCGTCTGTGCTGGGCTCTCCTCCTGGCCAGGATCCCTCTCCACCACGCCTGGATGGCAATAGCTGCAAGGCACATGACATACGCAATCACAAACAAATACATGCCAAATACGTGCAAAGAAATTGTTACCGTAGCTGCAGCAAACTATAAATTGACATTTACTGGAGAAAATGCTAAATGAGCCCGGTGACGATGAGCGTGACAAGAAGTTTCCTCACCTGAGGTTCTGAGTTTTTGGTATTTGGACTTCTGGCGGTAGCCTCTCCATCCTGCCTGCAGCTTGGTGGCTGTGGGGCGACAAAGAGAGAAAGGAGACACATGGTTTAAATCTGTGGAGATTCTGAACATACTGAGCACAAATCATGAGTCGTGTCAGAGGCTCTCACCAAGACTGTGTTTCCTGGTCTCCAGTGCATCCTCGGTGGCAAACAAGGTCTTTGGGAAACGGATGAAGATTTTGGATCTAAAAGGTGGAGGTAACGGTACATTTACAACTCATAGTGATTTACAAACAGGGTTAAGAGCAGTTCAGAGTCAAGAAGAGGGATAAAACATCAGAACGGGCAACGAAGGAAAAGCAAGTTTAAAAATGTAAAAATAATGAGGTTTAACGCTGCTTCTTAAGCTTGTACTAAATGATCTGAGACAGCCATTTGACTATACAGTAGTATACACTTAGGTATTGTGTTGCTGACCTGCCCAGTTTGTACTCCTCAGGCTTGTATCCCAGGTATTTGACCAGTGTGGCCACTCCATCAGACAGTTTCCCCTGCCAGTTAGGCCATGTGTCTGGACACAGGGACTTATACCTGAACAGACACAAAACACAAGTAAATACTAGAATATAGTACAAGAAAACACGAACAGCAACAGAAGGAACCAGGTTTAGAGCAGAAACTAACAACATTTTTCTAACTAGAAAAATAATCTGTAACTATTCTGATAATGGATCAATAGTTTATGTCATTTTTCCAAAGCAAAAATGCCAAATGTTGCATAATGTTATGGCAGAAAATTGTGACCAGCCTCTGCTTATGTCAGAGTAAACAGAACAGTGTGAAAAACAGAAATTTGATGAAGTCATCTTGGGCTTTAAAAAATTGTGAGGGGCATTTTTAATATTTAATATAACGAACCATTTATGGAGAAAATCATCAGCAGATTAACCGACAACAAAATAATTGTTTTGTTGCAGCTTCAGGCTCAGTCCCTAGTGTCGTCTTTGTCAAAACTGATTTCATTTAGATTTATAGTTTAGGAATAAAGCTGGCACTCTTATTCAAAGCAATGAATTTGCTAGTAGGGGATCAGCTCAGGATATTTTAACAGGACTGGGGACTGATCCTGAACCCTTCCTGAAACCAAGAAGATCAGAAAAAAAAAAATCAGTTAAAAGACCAAATCAGTACTTCTTTGATGGCGATTGCACTTCAGTTACCCAGGAGTCAAATAAGTAGAGTGGGGTAAACTAACAAACACTGCGTTGACCAAGAAACCTGTATACTTTACTCAGTATGTTCTCACTTCACATCTTGTTGTGTCTCCTCGTGTACAGCGTAGCTCTGTATGTCTAATCTGGACAATTTGACTAAATTGAGAAAATCATATCGGTTGTGTACCACAAGAAAGGGAACATATACTTGATACTGTGCTTCCATGTGATTGCACCTTACTGGTAAAAATAAGAAATAAAAAGACAAGTAGCTGATCACCTCTGCAGGAAGATCTCGTAGCGCCGTCTGTAAGCAAAGCCGGCTCTCCTCACCCTCAGATTCTCCATCAGCCCCAGGTACTTGACCTGGTGACGGATCAACACCTCGTCAAATCGAACTGGGACGGGAGGAGAGGGGGGAAAAGTGGGAGAGAGGGAGATGGATAGCTGGGTCAACTCAGTCTGCGAAAAATGTAAAGTCTGTTGGACCAAAATGAACCAGTGAAAACCAGTAAATGCTAAACAACAAGAAGTAGGAGTGACAAAGGACAGAGAAACAGTGTGAAACTAACAAAAGGCCAACTGTGGAGAGAAACAAAGGCCGGCCCGATATACTGACGACCACACGGAGAGTTCCACTGCGGCCACTCATGCAGCCAAAAACAAACTGTTTTGGCTGGTCTTAGCTAAAGCACAGGATTAACATGATGTTCCTGGGAAAATATTAGCTTGTAGAAGCAGCTAAGCTGCTTCAACCGTGTTGACAAGAACTGTTACATAAAACTGGGCTCAACCATTGAAGACTATGAGTGTTTAGCAACAAATAACAGCCATTATCATTTGAATCACATGAGTACGTCACTACATGTCGTGGAAATTTGATTGGTCATATTCAGACATCAAAATGCAAACTTGAACATCTGATCTATGAAAAATAATCAATCAAGAATGAACTGAATCCGTCAGTTATGTGTCTAATGTGTGTTGACACAAGAGGAACAATTTGACAGCTTGAATTGAAACAACTTGAACATTGTTTTTTTCAAATATCAAACACTTGAAATTATCTTTTCAAAAACCACACGAGTACAGTTTTTAAAGTAAAACATTTTAATGTTATAAATTCAGTGATATTTAATTTTAGACTAGTATTTAGCTGCAATTTCATCGTCACAATTTGGTATTCAGTTGCTTATAAGATTACAACTATTAAAGCTATTATTTGCTCCCATGTAAGTGTTAGACTTGCCAACATAGACCTAAAACATTGGAGAAGTTGGGACCATTGGCACGCATTTCTGGATTCTATACCAAGCAAAAAACAAAAACTTGACTTCATACCTGCTTGCTTGGCGTCATTGGGCTTGATGCAGCGGACGTACGACGGCTCCTTCGACATGAGGATCTCCATGAGTTTCGCCAGACTTGCTTTGAACTGGGTGGCTGCCTGGAGGGGCAGACACAAACAGACAGGACAACGAACGAAAGCTGGTTAGGAAGCGATGAAGAGGTGAAGGTAAGAGGGCGGGAGAGGCAGCGGGTCAGTAACCCGAAGGAACAGAAGGTAGAAACTGAAGAGGAGCAGAGAGGAGTGTGTACGCAAATCAAAGCCCGCAGACAGAGATGGTGACCTAAGAAGAGCTACGCAAGCAGAGGGGCGGCTGATGTGACTGGCAGTCCAGTAGAGACTGAACACTGGGCCCAGTGTGGAGGACTAGGACTCCCAACATGCCAGCCTGTGACAGTACCCTGTTCAGCTGTTTGTGTGTGTGTGTGTGTGTGAGAAGTGCATACAAGTGTCAGGGCATTCCTCAGTAAGTGGGAGGCCGCAGAGAATCCCCATCAAACCGCCCCCCCACCCAACACTGTAGAGAGGAAACACACCGCTGTTTGTTTGCTTGTGGGAAAGTATGTTGGGATGTATGAGAGTATGATTTATAAGAGTGTGGAAGACAGGCAGAGAAAACCCCAGGACACCAAGAGGGAATACAAACACACACACACACCAAGATAGCTCACCGTTTCTGGGCGTTTCTTGTCACTCAGCTCCTCCCTGTCAAAACACTGGGTCAGGATCTTGTTCTCTGACTTACACATAACCTGCAAACATAGAGGACACAAAGGACATTTTTTAATATGTGAATGAGGCAGTACACTGTACAACGCATCACACTTTCCAAGTGAAAACCAGTTTGCAGTTTGCTGCTTTGTCTCCTGTTGATTTTAAATTCTCACCTCTTTTAAGTTCCTGAAGAGCAGGTCGTTGTTCTTGTCCAAAAATCCTGAGAGAGAGAAGATTTGAGAATTAGAGTTTTGATAAATTTACTGATTAATCACTTCCATACTACATACACATGGTGCTAAAAGATGGAGGCTGAAGCTAGCACTGAAGAAACATAGTTCTAGTATTCCAGTGTAGAGCTGGTTAGTTGTTACATAAGTATGATAAGAAAAAATGTCAGATCTGACTGCTCTTTCATGTTTAGCTGCTTTTCTTAGACAAACAAGATAGAGATTAGACTTATGGTCTTTTTAAGTAATGTTATATTTTTAACGTTTTAGGACGGTGACTAACTGATGTATTTGCTAGTGTGGACTGTAAACACCCCCAAATCCAATAGAGTAGGATAAAGACGCTATCGTTACTCTAAACTCTGATATAGGAGCAGCCGAGATCGGCTTCCACTCAATGGGGAAATACTAAACAGTGGACGTGCTAGTCATGAACAGGACTTTTTTTGTTGTTGTTCTAACGTAACCTGTAACCCCACACAATAATTGGGTGTGAATGCTGCAATATCATATACATATGTTGTTGTACTGATGAAACTGGTGTTGGTACATTTACAGTACATTATGCTGAGTTTATCCTGGGAAGTTTTAGAGTTCAGGAAACTCTCCCCAGGTCTTTGTTGGCAACCAGCCTTTAATCTGTTTGTGCTGGCCATTGTTGGAAGGCGGGCATTTACATGGGAACTTACAGTAACTCCTATCACATTGTGACGAGGTTGTTTTGGTTTGATGACGTGTTATATTTAACAAATGGTATTTAGTACTGTATATTAGTTGGACATGTCTGATCCCCGTGCCAAATTCACTACAACACCAAACATCCGAGGCAGCCGTACATAAATACACACTTTTCTTTATGTCGCTTTTAGGTTCATAAGATAAACTTACATTAATTTCCTGGAGACTTACCACTACTTGCCTAACCTTAACCTTGACCACTGGCCCAAAAATCTGCCTTTTCCCAGGTGGGGGCACAGCGTTTTCCCTCGTCCCAATCATCTGGTCTTTAGTGTGAAATGTGTCCCAGAAGGTAGCATAAGTCAGACACACACACACACACACACACACACACACACACCGTTGACATTGTAGTTGACCTCTCCAGCGTAGTGCAGCAGTCTGAATTCGTCACGGCCCATTACCTTCCGGGTCTTTGCATCAGCCAGCTTGTGACTGCAGGGAAACACACACACACACACACACACACACACACACACACACACACAGCATGGAAATATCAGTAAATGGACTGGACACATTTTCAATAGTTCACAGTCTGGTACCACAAGCCAGTCAACAGCCAGACTTTGAAGTAGTGTAAAACAAACTGCTTTAGGTATTTTTGGGGCATTGCAGTAATTAGAGAAGACAAAATTAGGAATCCAACTAACGTGACAAAGTGTGGGTGTCCTCCCACAGTGTCCTCCAGCTTCTCTAGGAAGGTGAAATCACTGGCGTCTCCAGGTCTCAGACACTCCTCATCCTGCGATAGGAGGACAAAAAGAGCGGCAATCAGTCATTGTCTTACAAAATCTAAAATACCCTTCCGAGACCATGTCCCTGTATCAGTGGCTTTCCGTACTACAATCCAATCAATTCCTTCATTTTTTATTATACAGATAATCCCAGTTTTTGCTTCCCAGTGACTGAGCTTTAAACAAATGCTTTGGGAAACAACTTATTCATATTCTTGCAGAGATTCGATATCCCTCTCTGTCTTTATGGTAAATATGGAGCTGGAGCCAGGGGATGGTTAGCTTAGCTTATACGCATACCAGCACCTCAAAAACACACTAATGAATACGCTGGGTTTTGTTTGATTAATCTGTAGAAAAACCAAAGTGTAAAAATGACTACATGTTCTCCTTTAATATGACATCACATCTTGCCACATGTTCTTTGGGTATTTTATATTTTGGCTGAAATCCACTTCCAGAATGAATAAAATCTTGTAAGAGCTCTGTAGCAGAGACAGAGCGCAGTGTGTCTCCTCACCAGTATGGAGATGATGCCTTTGAACTTTTCCTCCACCAGGTCACAGATGATCTTGTTGTTGAAGTACTGCACCGGCTCCCACTGCAAAGACGCAAGCACCATTTCAGTTAGAGATCACGAGAAAATACACCCTATCATGGGCATTATTTGGCTTTGCATGGCATACAGAATATAATGAAATTGTTTTTGAAGAGCCACGTTTTTCCTCACAGCTTGAACTTAGAAAACGTCTCGGACAGAATTCATCAGTCTAACCCTGATACAATTACAACTATTATAAGCTATTTAATGGCCGTAAAGTCAATCATCTGCAGAATCCCTAACAGCCACATCATTTCCACAGAGAGGACAGAGTGTGCGGCCCACGGCCCCGATCTCAGATGATAATGGGCTCTTTGAGAGGTGAGTCCAAGTTACTCCCACAACCTGCTCTCCGACCAGTGCATTTAGATTAGACTGAACACAAGAGGCCCTTGTTCCAAAGGAGCAAACCAATATAAATACAATGAATATAAAATGGTCGAAGACAAAAGGGAGCAACTGAGGAGAAAATTCAAGAGAGAGATCTTGAATTAGACATCATCTTTAATTTAATTTCTTTAAGAGGTTTCATTTAAGATTTTAACTGTGAATAAATAGAGCACTACAATGCCAACAATAACAGGGATAAAGGCTTAATTTCTAATGGGGCAGTATCTTCTAAAAATATATGCACTTAACAGCAAATCAGCTTAAGCAAAAGCCTCAGTGAAACGGCAGAGTGATACATTAAATCACCAGTTTCACATTGGAAAACAACTGCAACCGCAATCACATTAGGAGCTCTTTGCGAAACCTAAACCCTGGCAGAGGGAGGAGAAATAGGGTGGTAATGGATGGTGAAAAGAAACCGCATGAGACTGAGAGGACCAGAGGAAGCAAGTAAAATGAAAAAAGAGAGCCATAAACAGAATCCAAGTGTAAATGCAGTGAAGGTGCAATAACACCTGGATTAGAAAATGGAGGCGGGTGGGGGTGAGAGAAGGGACACTGAGGGAGAGAAGGAAATGATGTCTGACCGTGATGCCTTCAGCCTCGTACTCCTCCTGCTCTGACTTGAGGGTGAGCTCAATGAAGAGTTGCTGCAGCTTCTCGTTACAGTAGTTGATACAGAACTGCTCAAAGCTGCAACGCACAACAATAAACACAATGGCTGAATCAGAAAAAAAGACTGACTCAGTGGCTGTGGGCTGATCTTTAACTAAAGGCTAATATTACCCACATACAGGGGTCATACCATAATTGATTCCATAGATAAACATAGGTTATATAATCACAATGTAGGTTAAGGTTGGAGGCTAATTATTGACCTTAGAAATAGGGGTCTGACAAAAGTCTTGGCACAAGGTCCACTTACTGGGAATGTCAGCTGCATCTCACCATATAGAGTTTACTCAGGTTGTTCAGCAACCACCTGAGCAAACTCCTACAGCTGATGAAGGCCACAAGATTGAGCTGAAAGCTCTGGAAAATTCAAGAAAGAGGACCTTGTGCAAATATTTTTTTTTTAAATCAAATTGTGCTTGAATTACTTTAAGGTTTAGATGGATATGCAGATGTTGAGTAAATCTCATGAAGTTAAATGTTTAAATTCAGCATGTAATACAACAGGTACAGTATTCATCAGTAATAATGTACCTGTTGTTCTGGAAGACCTCAAAACCATAGATGTCCAGCAGGCCAATGACAGAGTAGTTCTTGAAGGATTCATCCTGTTAGAGAAACACAACAAAAGTCATCTTCCTGTCTGCTTGAAAGGGAAAACTCTTGTACAGTATCCAAATCCTGATTTAAGGATTAAAAGGAGAAATAAAATGACAATGGCATTGACATCTAATCTACTTTTACTCCGGGGTTTAAACACATTGACTGATTTTCAATAGCTGAATTCAGAAAAATATCCATTAGTACTTTATTTAGAATAATATTGGTATACCGTGAGTACATTGGTCTAGTTAGTACATAACAACTCCACCTTGTCCACCATGTGAACTTGTACATGTCCACAAGGTGGAGCTGTGCTGTAATATATCAAAGGGGAGACATCACCACGCTGTGCAATACAGTGTTGGATAATGTCTGGATTTATTAAGACATTAAGATGAAGTGAAAATGTATTAAAAAATTTTTAATCCTTTAGTGGAAAGTTGTGCACTGTGCAGTCACACTAAGGCATGCTCACTGCAGTGAGTGACTAAGTTTGTGTGTGTGTGATTACCGTGTATGCCAGCGAAGCGTTGATCTTGTTAACCAGCCAGGTGAAGGTGCGTCCGTACACTGCCTTGGCCAGGGCATCTCGAGCTGATGACGCTTGCTCTAGGTTCAGCGGGCTCATCAACTGATGAACACACACACACACACACACACACAGGAAGGAGAGAGGCCCAGTAGACAAGTTACAATATAATTACACTGGACCAGACTAGACATTACACAGACAGGAAAGCTTTGTATACAAATGCTTATCACACACTCGCACTACAATGAGTTTGTGTATCCAAACCTACCTCCTCTCCCTTGGCAATTATCGTCTTGTGCGTGAGTGCCTCTGTCAGCACTGTCCCATTCACTCCTAACAACTGGAAAAGCACAACAACATTAGCGCAGCCACACCAATGACAAAATGATGGGGGAGGGGGGAGAGATGTATCTAGGGAAAGTGTTGTATGTAACGTATGATCCAGCAGCGTGCAGACTATTCAAATGGATAAGTCTTCACCAGCATTTGTCAGACATATGGTTATGTATTGAAAGTGTGTGGATGAGGATTATTCGCAGCCCTGTGAATTTCAAACTCAGGTCGAAGTCCATATTTATCAAGCATCTCACAGTATGAAATCAGTCATAACTGGCCAGAGGATCTCAAAAAGCATAGGACCTAACCTGTTAGGAATTACTAGGAGAAGGCACTCAGGCAGAAACAATGAGAGGGGTTACGCAATGCTTAACCCCTTTTTGTAACCGACTTGCAGAAGAGAACACTTGCTGTCTCTGCAACAACCAACAGCTTCTGCAGTTACAAATTAAACTTCGCTCTTACAGCACCTCAGATATTGTGCACAACGTAAGGCTTAATGAGCGCGTTGTGTTCTTTCATGGGCAGTTTGCAACATCAATGTGACGTGTGCAGCAGAGCGTGGCTGGATAGGTCTGACCTGGAATGGCTAAAGATTTGAAAAAGTTAGCTAAAAGTAATGGATAAATCATTAAAATGAAAAGCTTACAGTAAAAGAACGGAAGAAATAGTTAGCTAAAGTACTGAATAAATGAATGGCCCAGTGGGGGAAAAATGTTACGTTGGACACTGAATAAATGGAAAGCTAAAAGTAACTGATAACCAGCTGAAAACATTAGCTTAACATGATGAATAGGGCTGGGCGATATGGCCAAAAATGTTGGCACGGTAACATTTTTTATACAATTCAATATCGATAATCATCACGATAAATGTCAAATCATTATTTCTTTCAAGTTGAAAGCAGGTGTTTGCTCCTGAGTGAAAGTTGAAGAAACCAGGCGGTTACTTGTGGTTTTAAATTCTTCTTCATGGTCAGAACAAACACCTGCTGCCAAACAATGGATCACTTCACAAATCTGAGGCAGAACATTCAAAACAATTATGATACAATCTTTTTACAACAAATATGCACGAGTCAAATTAAGTAAAATCTTTTTTTCAGTCCCTTTATTTCAGGAAAATCAATACCTTAATAGAAATTAAGCGCTAATTTTTTTGTGATTCAAATGAATTATATCAAACATTTATTGAACATTTATTATTTTGTTATTGACGAGAATATCATAATATCGATAATCGATAATTATCATTATTGTTTTATTGCCCAGCCCTAATAATGGATAATCAGCTAAAGATAATGGGTAAACATTTAAAATAGTTATAAGCAGTGGAAAAATGGCTGAAATAGTTGGAAAAGTAATCAATAAATGGTTAAAATAGGTATATATACTGTAGATAGATTCTGCCTTTCTAAGTGGTGGTAGTACGAGTGCAAACTTGACTAAACCAACCTAAACGTTAACAGTTCACAGTTGTTTGAAAAAGAATTATGTAGTCAGTAGTGTTAAATAACAGCAGATCAGAGGAACACATTGGTGGTGTTGATGACGGGGCACTTCTGACAGGGCGGCAGGGGTACATCAGACGGAAAAGGTTGGGAACCACCGATTTACTTATTTGCTTATATTCATAACGCCTATGAGGCTGGTTTCTGCATTCCCAGGTCTCCACATGTTTAATAACACAAAAAGCAACTGTCAGAAAAACTACAATAAGTCACCATAATGTTTACTCTGTAGCTGAGAGTGTCATAAAACAACGAGGTGTCACAAATGCAGGAAGCTTCATAAGTAACTTCACGACTATTCTTAAGAGAAATTCTGAGATACTTGATAAACACAGCCCATCTCCCCCCTGGCCTGTTACAAGTGTTTATGAACCTGCTTGGTGCAGCATCTTACCCTGGCCAGGTACTTTATCTGTGTGTCAGAAGTGATGCAGGCATTGCCCTCTTCTCCACCGTACTGCACATTCCCTAGGTGGAGCACACTGGCGATTATGTTCAACAACTCCTGCACAGAGAAAACATACACAGAGAGGGGATACACAGAGAGGGGAAGCAAAAATAAGGACAAGAGAGAACAATATGGGAAGAAAAAGGAAGTACAAATAGTTACAAACAGGTGGAGAGTTGGGACACAGAAAGACCTTCAGGAGGAGGGAGAGAACAAAGGTAAAGGGACGATAAGATTACTGCCGTGGCTCTCTTTGAGCGACTTGGCAGATAATGGTGGCTTTGATGAAAAGTACCAAGTATCATACTAGACCTTGCGCACACTCACGCCTGCTCGGCACTCTATAAGCAGTGTGAGATCTAAAAAGCTCTGGCAGCAAGCCCAGACTCATGAACATGTAGGAAGACTCCCACGCTGAGCACAAATAAGTTCTGACCATTATAATAATAGCCACACACAATTGCTGTGGCTCGCGCACACACACACACACACACACACACACACACACACACACGCACACACCCCTCCCGTCTAACAATACCTGCTCCGTCTACTTCAAGAAAACAGAGGGTTTCCTCCTCCCACACTACTTTGGGTGACAGAACAAACATGTCGGGCTTTATTTACACGCCTTGGACTTGGCCCTTACCTCCACCTCGTCTTCGCTGAAGCCAATCACAGTCAAGGCTTTCCTCACCACCTTCCAATCACTGCGGTCGTTGATGGAGCTCACTTTGGGACAGTTACCCTATGGAAAACACACACACACACACGAAACGTAAAGCACTCTGAACACATTAGATATTTATCATCTACTTGAGGTTTATATTTCCCAGTAAAGTTGGCAGCACGTCCAGGAAAATCCAAGTGGCTGATGTGTAAATAGTTGTTTACATGTGAAGTAAACACCTTTTTAATATGTGATGTAAACACCTTTTTGCACAAACACACAGATGAGGTGTTTTGCTCAGTAGCTGTTGGTGTGTGTGTTCATTAAGGGGAGGGTTCAGCTAGTGCCTTAAGCCAGATTTGCCCCCTGAGGAAAGCACCTTTCACTGCGCTGAGAGTCCCTGACTGAGAGCCTATTAACCCGAAATCCTACTGGGACACACACACACACACACACACTCCAGAGCAATGACTTATGACAGGATAGAGAGAGACAGAGAGAGAGAGAGAGAGAAAGACTTACTGCAGCTTCCCTGCAGATGGTTACAGATGGTTTATATAGGCAACTATCTAAAAACAAATTGCAGACACAAGAGAGGCTGAGTAAGGAAGACTGTCCAAAGAATCCAATATCCCATTGCTGCATTAGTTTATTACAGGCAGGTGATCACTTCCATGCAGCATCCAACTAGATTCAAACAGTTTCACAAGTATGTGAGTGTCCAAAAGCAATAATGTTGTTAAAATATGATAATTAGTGCGAACAGCGGTCAGCAAAATTAGGCTATCCCCCCCCCCCTTTCATCCAAACTGTGAACAGGTGATATCCCAAATTACTACACCCACACCACGGGACCCAAAAACCGTAAGCAACCACAAAAGTGTTGTTGTGTTCAAGAACCCCACACCCCAAACCTGACTCCTACAGTTTATATACAGCTACGTTTTTTCTCCAGGGCCAAATGTGTGGCTGGACAATGATTTGGAATTGTTACAGGATGGAGTCATTTCAGTTAAATTTCATGGTCCCCAGAGGATGAATCCTACTCACTTTTCCTCAAGTGCCACCATTAGGTTCACATGCGTGGCAGAGATTCAAGTTCCACTCAGGATTCAATGTAACAACTCTGGCAATCCCTTAACTTTTCATGTAGTTCCATCACCAAGTCAAAATGTATTTATAACTTTGGAAAACCATTGACCACTGTGGATGGTGAGCAAAAGAGGGAAAAATAAATAGAACTTTTACTTCAGGAACCAGTGACTCCTGAATTCGCTCCTTCCACTTCGCAACTCTACAAAAGTACTAGATACATACTTTGACCAGGAACTGGTACTGCTGAGGGTTCCTCTCCAGGCCCAGGCGTCTCAGCAGGTCCTCTTCCCCTCCCTCGATCAGCTGATAGAAAATGTGGAAGTTCCTCTCCCCGTGGTTCTGGTGGACCACGCGGGACTTCTCCAGCAGGTAGTTGATGATGTGGCCTCCCACTGGGGCGCCCTGACGACGGGATAAAGACCAGGGAGGGAGGGGGGAGGAAGGGAAGGAGGAGAAGAAGGTAAGGCTGGAGAACTGAGGTGTGATGTAGGGTTGATTTAACATGCAGGTCGACAGGGATTTTGTAGTCCATGAAATATTTTGTGAACCCACAAAAGAGCGATACAGCAGGGAGGAGTGATCACACAAAAAAATCTATGCCTGTGACAGAAAACAAAGTATATTTACACTGTTAAAAGTGGGGTAAGCGATTCTGGAGAAATCCAACACAATGACAAATACCCTGATACAGATCACACACCCACAAAGCAAGTAACGTAACTAACGTTGTGTAAGTTGTGAGTTAGCAAACTGACGCTGCAGTTGCTGCTGTGACGCTAACATGCAGAGACGGTCCCAGAGCCGGCACACCAGCTCCAGACAGCGGTACTCACAACTCTCCTGCTGCTATGGCTAACATCACAACAACAGCATGTCTTGGTGAACTAGTAAGTAAGATGAAGTCATTTAATGTTACCTGACACAGAAATCATGGCTGGAGTACTGCTGTGTGGTTCGGTCCGAGCCACTTTGTCAGTTTCCCATTTACAGAGCCAGGGCTGAGTACACACACTGAATTTATTTTCAGTGCACACACAGAATGGAGGAGCTAGCAAACCGTGAGGAGATCTTTGCTGAATATGAAGACTTGGATTAGAATCGCTTACCTCACCTTTAACATTACCATGCAAAATAACAGAGCCTTGAGTTTCTTGCTTGGTTTCAATAGGTTGAAGTAACAATATTTTCGGTTCTTGCAACAACCTGTTTCCCTCTGAAGGAAGACTTGTTGGACAGTGTTTACTCTGGTGTAAAGTAGCCGTCAGTATAAATTAGACAGTCCTGCTCACCTTGAAGTCAAACTGAATGTCCATGTACTTGCCAAAGCGGCTCGAGTTGTCGTTGCGCAACGTCTTGGCATTGCCAAAGGCCTGGAGATAGAGAGGGATAAAGAAAGGAGAGGAGTGATGACTGACAGAGGTAGAGAGATAACAGATTTTTTTTTTTACAGTGATAGACAGGATGGCAGATAAGGACGTAGCAGTGAAACAATGAGAAAACAACAGGCATCAGAGGCCCCACAGTGTTTGTCTACAGACAGTAGCACAGATTACAGGACATAGTGTACACTCGCACACATCTGGAAAGGATCTGGCAGAGACATCCCAGACATCAAAACAGGCGCTTCTGTAAACTAGAACCTCTCTAGTGCCTTCATCCTCAAAACCACAGTTACACAATTACAGTTTTGCCCACATTTCCCAAAAATATGTAATGTATGTGTGGGAGTAGGACATGTCCATCCTGCTCAGATGCATTATGATGTCTGTGTGTATTAAAACACGTGTGTCTGCATATCAAGTTTGCTCAGCCGATGTAGGTTTTAGAAAGCACGTAGCAAAGTGATTATGTAATACATGTACATACAGATGATAATGTATTAATTCAAAGAAAACTGAATCATACAAAAATTCACTGTTGTTTTTGATGACTCTTGTCTGGGTGGAGAAGCCTCTGAAGAAGCATTCAAACACTCCAATAAGAACCAAGACAATCAAATAAACTGCATTACATCTGTCACAGTGGAGGTGAACAATACTGGCCGCAATTTCCCCTCACTGAGTCCAGGATGTTAATAGACTTTATGTTTGGCAGATAAATCAATAACAGTCACTAAAAACACTGGAAATTAAATGGATTTCCCTCCATCTTCCTCCATCATCCTGTGGGCTGAAAGCAAAACAAAACAAAACAACGCCTCTTTATCTGACTGTCAGGTTAGTGACTGGCTGCTATACAGTTATAACAAAAGCAATTAAGATGAGAAATCTCTGCTCCAATAAAAAAGATAATGAAACATTAGTCATGATAGTATGACATTTAGTACTTATTTTGGTCTTAAAATATTAGGCTTATATATGTTAGCTGATAAAGAATACTTAGTCTTATTTCTTTATCAGCTCAACACTGCTGACAGGTTGATATCTTATTTTTATAAAAAACAAATACGCCCCAAATTTATCAACAAACCAATTTACACCATCTATTGTATTAAGCCACATTCATCAACACAGCATCAACCAGCAGTCTATCACTCAACAGTATAATAAATTAAGCCAATATGCTGAAAAGCTCCCTGCTCAGTGTGCTCCAGGATAGGAGTTCTCCCAGATTAATGACGTGCCGTGGCATCTCACCTCCAGCACAGGGTTGGACTGCAGCAGGCGGTCTTTGATGGTCTGCACCTGCTCGCTGGCCGGACAGGTGACGGCGTAGTACTGCAGGATCTTTTTGGATGCCTCCGTCTTCCCAGCGCCGCTCTCCCCAGAGATGAGGATGCACTGGTCCTTTCTCTCTGTCCTCAAGGAACGGTACGAGTTGTCTGCCACTGCATAGCTGGAGTGGAGGGAAATATGTGATGACATTTGATTTGAAAATATCATGGCATTATAGTGGGAAGGAAAAAAAACATGAAGTACGCCAATATATGGATTTGGTGATATAATTCAGCTCTGATGAAATTTGTTTGAAATCATTATAAACATCTCATTAAAAAACAATATCCTTGCTGGCTACAAGAAGACCTTAACGATACCCTGTGGAGTTTGTGGTAACTATTAGCACCACAGAGCAAAGCTTTACATGTGGCTGCCCGGTTTCTTTGTAGCCACTGGTTTCACGCTACTCCACTGACCTAGTGGCGGTGGTAGCGTGTCAGGCAAAGCAGCACTGCGCCACCAAAAGGCAGTGAAGAAGAAAACTGCTAGCTTGTAACCATGGATGTAATTAACGCAGGTTGCAAACAAAAATCAGCTTTACAATTGTCTTGAGTAAGATCTAAAACAGTGGGCAAAATTATTTTCCACTGGCAGCTTTAATCAAAAATGACTAGAATGGGTACAGAAAAGCCAGTATCATCAAAATATCATAAAAGTGTACATTACATATGTATTAAAGCTGCAGCTATGCAGCAACATTACATGACACACCAACTCCTGAGTAAAAAAATCTGTCAGCTAGTTCTTAACTGTGTCTGCTGTGTTTTAAGAGCTTTTTCACTGAAAACATGGCTAGAAACAGTAAAGCTGAATTGAGGGGAATATTGGTTAATGATTCTGTGTTTGTCGCCTTGACCCATTACACAGTCATTTCATCTATTGTTAATATAAAAATATTGATAAGATCAGCTTTAAATATTGGCAAAGGTATTCTGTATTGGCATTTTAAATCCAAAATGACTTAAACAGGTACAGAGAAACCAATAGCAGTCAAACAGTTATCACGTAATTAAAGAGAATAATAAGTATACATTAAATATTCATTAAACATTAGAAACTTAGGTTTACGCTCAACATTACTAAAGTCAACCCTAATTAATGGGTAGAATAGAAACAAACAGACCATTACTCATCAGGCATGGTGATGATGTTGCATGTCTATTGGAAAACTTGAGTCTGAATGGAACATATAGCATCTCATACTGTGTGAAGATGGAAAGATGTCCAGTATGAATCATAAAGTCCAGAGTGGAGCACAGTCTGTTTTAGTTACAGTATCATTTGTCAGCCCCGCTGCTGCTATCAGCACTGATATGTTGTTTCAGCCTGTTTGGACACATTTCTGACTCAGGAATAATAACTGGATGATAAACCCACCAGCGAGGCCATATTTATATTGCACTGTGTGTGCGTGCGTGTGTGTGTAATGTATGTATGCAATATAGGGCTGGGGGGGGGGGGGTCAGGCTCAGTTCAGAGGAATTCCCTCTTAAAGGAGTAAAGCTCTTGCCTGGTACCATCATTTGCTTACTTTCCTTTCCACCTCTCCCTCCCGTTTTCTCTCTGCGACCCTCCACCTCTACTTGCCAAAGCACATTTTTCTTTCCACTCAGAGGGAGCGAAAACATTCGTCCCTACCTATGCTCAAGTGTTAAAGTAAAGAGAGAAAATAAATAACTACCAGCGGTTAGAGCAAAGAGCGAAAGAGCTAGAGAGAGATTCTGAAATATTTCGATGCTGCCACTCTCCATAATGAATCTGATTGTTTTGTAGCTGACCTGTGGGGTCTGGGAGGATTTAATAGGGAATTCCCCAACATTCCTGTGGTAACCTTTCAAACAAACACTCATACCTCATGCCGTGACGTCTTGCAAACAGTGACTGATAAAGGCAAGGAGAGTCAGACCATGGGAGCATTACGTAGCTAGTGTACTCTGTGAGAGTGGCGCATAGGACAAATATTCCCATGCTCTCTGAACATACAGACTGTGACAGCATTAAAACAAATGTTACGTCATCCGAGGGTAAAAAGATTCACCTAGCACCAACAGACTCCTACTTTCAGGCCGCTGGAGCAAAAACAAGGCAACAGTGAACATGCTGTCCGCCGTCAACAACGCAGTCAAAATATATGTTTCACCTGTAACAGCAAACACATGCAATGAGTCATTCCTCCCTCCTCCTCATAATGCTGCATTCATGGTCAGGAGCAAAGAATGCATCCCGTATGAGACTGTCTAAAGGTTTATAATAACTGTTTGTTCTGAAGGCTTATTGGGCTTATTATTCGTCTTTCATCCTTTTTAAGCAAGTAGCTTGACTCTGCACGTGTGAGTTCTCAAAATGGAAAGTTGAGCTGCATACTGTAGGGTGTGCAGAGGCTGAGTGCTTACATGTGTGGTGAGACCTCGTAGAAGTTGACTCCACGGTATCGCTCCATGTGGTTCTTGGTGTAGATCTCCAGGTCTTTGTATGGGTTAACTGACACCAGCACTGAACCGATGTACGTCTGATGGAAAGGGAACATCCAGTTACATTACATGACAAAAGACTCACCTGTATGTTGCAGTGAGAATCTAAATGAACCAGATATGCAAATACAAGTTTATCACTTTGTCACTATGACTCTGGACAAAGGAAACTAACTGTAGGTATACTTTTGTGCCACACTGTCGATGTTTCCACATCACCTAGGCTCCAGGCTGATTTCATGTTAGTTAACTGTCACTGACCATTTTTGGCGTTTTTCTTTCAAAGTTACACAACACAATTTACAAAAAGAAGAAATATATGTCGGCCAATAAGTAACAAGAAATAGACAAATGCTAAAGGTATGTTTGAGGACATTTAAAAGGCCTCTCCCCTTTACATGGTTTATGCACCAAAGAGCTATGGTAGATACTACGATTTGCGATATGATTCACAATTAGTGACACTTGTTAGGGTCTGTACCAAAGAGTCTTACATCTGGAGAAGAAGATCTGTAGGCCGGGGCCGCACTACAGTACCTCATTACAATTCTGTTCCGTGACTGTCATTTTACCTTCATCAAAAAATTGCAACTTCTGTGATTTGGATATCTGATTTTGATAATATTTCGACTAATTGTGAAACCCTACAAAAAGCACTGACAGGTTAGTTATAAAACATCATGCTCATTATATATAGAGGCCACAATTCTTTAATAATCAAATGTAAGGAAATTCTAATTAAATATATTTATGTTACATATACTGGTACACAATAAAAACTGAATTTCAGCCACTATAGTTATTGAATCTTTTACTCTTAAATATCAATCTCAAAACTCCAGCAATGGCCGGGCTCTAATACATACATGCGCAGCTAAACCCCCATCCTCCTCACCACACCCACTCACATAGATGAGGTTCTCTTTGAAGCGTTTGCGCAGGTTCTCTATGAAGGCGGCCTCGCTGGTGTAGTTCTCCAGCAGGACAAAGTCCTGCACGCCCACCCGGTCTCTGGCTGTCAGGGCCGACTCCATCATAGCCCGGACCCCGTCACTAGCCACCACCTAGAGGAGAACAGGCAGGGAGCAGGTGGTTTAAAACACTCAAGACACATAGAACATATGTGCTGTAACACTTCATTGATGAAACTCTGCTTGTCTCATGCAAGGAATAATTGGAGAAATGAAGGAGGGAGGCAAAAGCTTCACATCACACATTATCCATCCTTATTAGGGTCAGGAGGAAAGAAGAGGACGAAAAAAACGCTAACAATTAAAATCATAAATCAGTGTGGCACCAACTATTGCCAGTAACAAAATGCTGATAAAAAGATGTGGAAGTAGTGTACTACGTTGTTTAACAACAAAAAGAAGTATCAGCTGGGTGTGATGCCAGGAGGTCATGAACAGTTTCTAACAAACATAAGCCAGTTACGGTGTCTAGAAAACAACGAATAAATCAGCCGGGCCCACAAATCTGCTCATGTTATCTTACTGCTGATGGATCTATATTTGCACACTTGATTGTATGAAGAAAGTGGACAAATGATATGTTCGAGGTATTAGTTCACAAAATGGTAGTGAGTTGACCTCGAGTAAAGATTATCTGTCAAGGTCAAGAACTTCCATGCATTTGTAAAAAGAAATTTAAAATCTAGATTTTAAACATTACATATGAGCACAAATTGTCACCTGTCATCAGCTGCAAACCGAAACATTTTGCAATCGGCCTCACCAAAGACCCAATCAATGTTTGTTGAGATATAACCGCTTTTGTGTGCAAGTACATCTCAAAAGATTCACCAAGTCCTTCCTGTCCCATAAGGACCCCCCACAGCTTTCTACCTCCAATAATCCAAATGCAGACAAATGCCATGAACCATTCAGAGCACCACATTGATTCATACACACACACACACACACACACACACACACACACACACACACACAACAAAACTAAGTGGAGATTTTAGGTTTTATATCACCCAGTTTTCTTTAGAACAGCCCCTGAGTGATCTTAACACCTCTAAAAATTAGGTGAAGCCAAACCCAAATGTGGCACAGAAAATGTAGCACTTCAACCAAAGTGCGCCGAGCCCCACCCAGGTTGCACATACTTGAAAATAAACAGCACACATTTAGAATCACAAGTTAACTGCAACACTTACAAGTTTAAGGTCATCGATGCGGCTGCCCAGAAAGCCATTTTCTAAAATAGAGGCTTGAGTTTTACGCATAAGACTGCGAATGTTAGCCACATCCATGTTTAACATGTACTTGAGTTGGACAGAACTAAAACCAAGTCAAGCTGTGCTGGAGGGACAGACAACACGCACACACAAAGTACAGCAGGTGTTGTTGTTGTGCTGAGCAGTACGGTAGTCCGCATCCCTCAGGATAAAGAGACAGAGAAAGAAAGAGAAGAGAAAGCTTGAGGGAGGAGAGGACATATTAATTAGCACTGGGTGAGACAGGAGGGAAAAACACAGAGCAGAGAGGTGTGAGAGGAAGGAGAGAGAAAAAAAGAGAAGGCGAGAGAGGAGCTGATGGATGCCAGGTTATGACTCCAGCCCTGCACCATTTAAACTCCGTTGGAAAGTTAACAATACTCCCCGAAATTCCACACAGCAGCGCCCTCAACACAACAGCGAGCCCTTTAAATCATTACTTCCCCTGTCTTTACACGTGCACAACATCTTGATCAGATTTCACACAAGTATGCATGAATATGTTTGATCCTGGATTTCAAAGGAGAAGTACAGTGTCCCATGGTGCTTCACACATGGGGAGAAGCAATGGGGTCTATGGCTGTAGGACCACAGTTCAGGGAAACAGAACTTAGCACTGCCTAATTAACAGAACCACCCCTTCACTTTAATCTTTACAGCCCTTCAAAGTGGCCTGACTAAGAGGGAGGCTGTTAGAGCTGACTCATCTCTCATCTTTTATGATCCGAGAGTAACTCAAGCTTCCACTGGTGCCCCTCTTTTACTTCTTAATCCAGGCTGTAAAATCTGCGTGAGCATACGTGTTTGTGTGCGCACATCCTCACTAGGACACAACAATGACGCAATTTAACTTCATCCCTTTAACTCCCTGATTAAAGTATGCAGAGAATATTTGTGTTGCTTTTTATTACCCATTGGTTACATTCACTGCAGGCTTCTTCAGCACCTGAGGAGGCTTTACAGATGCCTGTCTCAGACTAAACGCTGCCTCAAGGCAAACCACATTAAGCAGAGAGGCACGGGATGAGGAAACGAAGCTGACACACTGACAGAAGTGGAAGGTGTTCACAACAACGCAGCTCAAACGGTTGCATTTAAGGTTAAAGTAGTCAAAAAATCTCATTTTTGACACTATTTATGGTCGGCCTTTTTTTCCAGCAACAGCCATTCTGTGTATTTACATTCACACTAGCTCTCTATATAGTAGATTCCATTGTCAGTGGTGGAGTCCGGCATTCCCACACTGGTTTCAAATTGCGATTACATGCACCAGGAATTCACAGGAAACAATGCATGCATGTAATCCAGTGTTTTAATAAAGTTTTTAATTAGATCTCACTGACCGGCCTCAATATTTACTGTTCACTCTCCTACACAGGAAATGCAACACATTTCTCAGAGGTAGCACTACCTGCAATGGATCAAAATGACTTCTACAAATGACTTCTGCAGTATTGCAGGGTGTAATGACACAAGAAGTAGCAGTCAGGCGATAGACTGCACACCTCCAGCTCCTCAGCGAGGTAACCAATTCACATCACTGTGTCCTGCTGCTGTGTGGGAAACTACTCACAGCGTGTGCAGAGCATGAACTCAGATTTCAATGAACTCACAGTTTCAAATATTGTCGACTGACTTCTTTATAAAAACAATGCCAGATTGTCTGGCTGCTATGTAAACAGACACACCAGCTGCTCTTTACCTGCTCGACTAGGATTTGTCTTAGTATTAAACCATACTCACTGTTACCACAGTAACCACAGGTGGGTCAACAAGGACTGAAATCTCAAAGTTTATTATTTGAAGGGAAGGAAAAGAGCAAATAGCTTTGGAATACATTTCACCCATGTGGTATTGATACATGCACCATATTATTAATAGTTAAGCATTAATACAAGCATATGTCCCACATCCCATACATCCGTGTTTCTCTCACCACTGGATGAGTTCTAGTGACCTCTTGTTTCACACATTTCTACAAAAAGCAAAGAAGCTGCAGCTGTGTGTGTGTGTGTGTGTGTGTGTGTGTGTGTGTGTGTGTGTGTGTGTGTGTGTGTGTGTGTGTGTGTGTGTGTGTGTGTGTGTATGCTGAGAGTTGAGTGTGTAGGACTCAAACAGTCTCTGTAACCAGTCCCTGCACTTCTCACCTGTCAAACAGTATGGGCAGTATTTTAACCTCTTCACTTTGATTTTCAGGTGATGATAGAACAGATATCTTCCTGTACTTATCGCTGCTCATGCTAAAGAACCACTTCTTTTTCTGAATCCATACATGCTGCTGTTGCTGCAGCTGGAAACATATGACTTCCTGTGTAGCAGAGAGATTTGTCCTGGCAAAGAACTACAAGTAGGGATGGGTATCGCTACTCGATACCTTTATGGTATCCAGCCCGGTATCGAGTAGAATTGAAACGTCTCCAGTCAAACCAGTAATTCAAATTGATCCTTTTTGTAACCAATTCGCAGCAAAAAATAACTATTTGTATGGTTTTGCTTGCAGCCAAACTTGCAAGCAACACACCAAAAGAAAGAGAAGAGCACGCCTTTTTTTCCTTACTGCCTGCACCATAAACTGTATTTAAAAAAACTGGACGCTTCGTGTCAATGCTGATTTTTACAGCCGCTCACCTTCGGCTGCGGTCTCAGGCATGTTCCTCACTGTTGCAAGTTAATCACCACAAGCTTGGCTTTCCATTGGTTTCATTTTCTTGTATCATTTAACACTTCTCTGTACATTTTTATTTGCCATTCGCATCACATGTCACTGATCGATAGCTCCGTTCCATCACATCAGCAGCGATCAGCTGATTTTACTGACGGAGCCTCCGGCTGCACCTGCGTCTGCTTCAGGTGTAGTTAGTTTGATCGGCTGGATGTGCAGACTCTCTTTTCCTCTGGCTCCTTACTCGTTTTATAGTTGTGACTGTTGTTCTTAGAGGTTTGCGACTCACCTCTAAAGGAAAAAGCACTCGCAGAGATCTTTCAATTCAGTTTATTGATCGAAAGTTAAAATAATTTTCCAGTGTTTACTTTCAACACAGGTATCAAAATGACCTTAAATTCATTTCCCACAACTCATTTGGTCACTAACTATTTCACTCCTCCTCTTTCATTCAAATATAAAAAAAACAAAAGCTGAAGTCTTTCCCCTTATTATACTACCCATAAGGATGAACTAATTGGGATGAAGATCTGATACAGTTTCACAATACTTTTATGTAAAATAAAATAGACAACCTTGCTTGTCCATAACAACAATAAAAACACCAATCAACTACTATGGCTTCAACAGGTGCCATTTTATGCAAGGTATTGGCTGAAGTACTTTAGTGGTATCGGTATCACTATAAGGGTACTGGTTTTGGTACTGGTATTGTAAAACTTTAAAGGATACCCAACCCTAACTACAAGGCAGCGGGTGTTTAGACCAAATGTAAAGGAATTCATCATCTGGGAACAGATTAAATCACTGTTAGGAGTAGCACGCCTGACTTACATTTACATTAAGATATCATGGTTTATAACAAAACCCTGCAATATTATGGCGCCTGGTAGGAAAGAAACCAGAGCCTTATTTCCTCACCTCTCTCCTCCCCTATACATCTCTCATTCACTTTCCCTCCTGACAGTCTCTCACCCTCTCTCTCTCTCTCCATTACTTCATTGTTTCCCAATGGCTCTTTCAGTGTTTGGCTTTCCTGCGGCACACCGGACCTCCACCCGGTCTCAGGAACACGCCAAGTACGTGCCTACCCAGTTCCTACATGTCGTCATATTTTCCAAATACGTTACAACAAGGCAGCTTGGAGCCAGGTTAGCGGGAGGAGACCTGAAGAG